AAGTGTGCGACTGGAGAAGAAGAGTCCCTCATTTTTTACGGCAGGGAGCTCTCGGCGACATTTTGGTCCTCCTTGGAAGGCGTCCACCCGTGTCAGCACACAAACAACGGGCGCGGTGACTCCCATGGGCGCCCCTGTGAGGAGGCCTTCCTCTCTCTCTCTCTCTCTCTCTCTCTCTCTCTCCTGTCGCCTCTAGTTTTTCCCCTCATATTCCATACCGCGCCGCCCCACACGCACGCACGTTTCCATTTGGCCATGCCCGCGCGTCACCGAGGAGAAGAACGGAAGGAGAAAAACACAAATGTGATTACCGGCGGGAGAGGAGGAGAGATGGGGGAGAGATGGGGGAGAAGGGGTGGAAAGAGGGGAGATAGGGGAGAGTCAGAGAGAGAGAGAGAGAGGCGCAGGTCAAGAGCGAGCCATATTCGTCGCTGAGACAACACGAGAAGGAAAACAAACTTCTGTCCTTCGGCAGCTGCTAGCGCCCGCCCCGCTCGCTAGGCACCATCCATGCACATCGGCGGGGTACATCACGGAGTGGCAGCGCGGGGGCGACCACCGAATGTCTCCAAGGACACAATCAATATTAACGAACAAGGATAACCATCGCCTAGCGCCCCATACCGGTGCGGGTGATGAGAGACCCCCCTGCACCAACCCCGTTACCACCTGAAGCACCTCTGCTCTGCGGCCGGGAACGCCTTCTTCCCATAGCCAACGCAAAGACTGCGTGCTTCCATTTTCCCAACGTGAGTTCACAGTCGTCAATTTTTTTTTTGAGAGCTTCCTGCTTGCGCTCGCACCTTCGAAAATAGAGAACATTATGCTTTATATCGCTTTCAAAAAATGAAAGGGCCGGAAAAGTGAGACGCGGCCGACAGGGGTACAATACATTGCGGATATATAGGCGTTGAGAAGATAGGTGTAGGGAAGATGCGGATAAGTGTAAACATTCGGTATGGGGACCATGGGTGGTGGGTGTGGACGCAGGTGCTCAATAGCTCTGTGTGTAGGTGGTAGCGAGCAGCAGATGTAGGGGCAGGTATAGTCGCTGAAGCGATGGCCCTCGCGATAGCCCCACTGCAGCGCATACAGCCTCGTAAGAACAGAAGCAAGTCAACGACACCGGGAGAATATTACCGCCGCCACCCCCTCCTCCTGCTCCTCCTACCTCCGCCGTTCATTCCCCTTTCTCCAGTATCGGCAGCATCACCAAAGACGGTCCAATAGAATCTCTCACCTGACCTTTGAAGTGCTTGCCAGAAGAGGGGGGAGGTGGTCGAGAGGGAGGGGCGGGCGGCCCTCCCCGCTCCTCAAGGGTATTGGGGAACGATGTCGTCACTGAAAAGTCAACTTTTATTTTGCCGAGGCTGGCGAAGCAGTCGGCGCGGGGGATGATGGAAGGCCAGGGTACCGACTTAGAAAAAGTGTACGAATTTTTCACTCTCTTAATTATTTACCCGTTCTGCTATGCCCAAATATTACATATGATGAAACAATCAATTCATAAACGATGTGCATAAATTTACTGGTAGACAAATACCTGGCTGTGGAAGTAAAGATAGTTATTAGAACGTGAAAAGACCATATCTAGCGACCATTAACGAATTAAATGATCCAACTAAAACAATCAACGCGGTAAGTAATAAGAACTACCGCGCAATAAACACTACCATGGAGCACTCCCTGCGCGAGCTGGGCCGCTGATCGTCTCACAACAGACGACTGCATCGACACACGCACGACAAAAAAAGAAGAACGGCACCCCAACCAAAAAACAACAAACTGTCTGAGACGGCTCCCCCCCTGGAGTAGGCAAAGCGGCAAGGCAAGGCGACGCCCGGCGGGGAGGGCGTTCACTGCGGACACCGCGACTCGTCGCGCCGTCCAGAGATGGGAAGGAAAAGAGGGGGAAGGGGGGTTGAGAAGAGCCCATCTACGTCACACTGCGGACTTCACACGCGAAATTCTTTCTAACAGAAGGCCCCATACTTTTAACAGTCTCGCACCACCACCTCCTCCCTCGCTTTTCTAATGTGTAATAGAGTAGACCCCACCCCCACCCCTTGCGCGTTCAAACCCTACCCCCTTTGGTTGAAAACGCACCCAAGGACCCAGGGAGCCAGTAGGGCACCAACCCCCCACCCCCTCTCCCTCCGCCGTCCTCGCAACACACTGCCGAAACAAAGTATCAGCTCCCATTTTTTACTGCCGAGGGCCGCTGTTTCATTTCGATACCGTTGAACCCTCCGCAAGGACACGTTCTCACATCGTTCAGCCCCCTCCCTACCCCTAACCCCATCTCCCTCTTCGCGTCCCCCACTCTTTCTCTCTCTCTCTCTCTCTCTCTCTGATGACGAGGTCCTTCACTCTGATATCCCCCTGATGACGTGCGCCTGATGATTCACAGTATAGGCAGCGCACAGCGTTCGGACCCTCCCCCTCCCCTTCTCTCTCTCTCCCCCCACACTAGACGAGCAGAGCAGTGAGTGAGAGGGTCGCTAACCGGCAGCGGCTGCCACGGTAATTTATGACTTTGCAATAATCCGTCTTTCTCTCTCTCTTCCCCTCTCTCTCGCTTTCTCTTTCTGTCAGCCTCGCTCTGAGGCCTAAGGCGCGCTCATCATATTGGTCCAGTCTGCCCCATGTTTTTCAATGGTACAACACTCTCTCTTTTTGCACTCTTTCGCGCTCACTTCGGTGCAGTACACGCGGCAATGACCCGCTCCGAACTGAT